AATTAGCCATTTTAAAAAAGGTTAACGCCAGCGCCTGAGACGGTTTTTGTTTAATAATCCTATTACTGACGGCTCATCATGTATAAAATGGTGCAGTAGGATGCAAAATTTCCACTTGTTTATAAGTGTATCTCCGAGAAATGTATAAAATAATCGAGAGCGGCGGAGGCAGGTCAGAGCCGCCTGGAATGCGCGCACCTCCAACGTAAGTAGCCAGAGCGGCCGCTCCGGGTTCGAGCCCCGACCGGGCAGGGGGCGCCTTGGCCGGGCACCTCCCGGACTTCCTACAACAAGGCCTCGGACTTTTTTCGGTTTGGGGCCCACGCTGGTTTTCAGGGGGAATGGCTTTCAGGGTCGATTGGGTTCGGAGGTTTCCGCCTTGCCGGGGGATTACAGGGTTGCAACCTCGCTCGGGCCCAGGCGACTGTGGGCCCTCGGGCCAAGTCCGCCCGGGGTTCAAGGAGGGTCGGCTGCTGAGACCGCCACCCGTGCCCCCGCCCCGCACTCCAATAAACTAACTCAGCTGCCTGTGAGGGTGGGGGAGGGGTACCTGCCACCGAACGAGGTCTCCAGGGGACCCCGGTCCCGGGGAAACGGAGGCAAGAGAAGGGAGACCAGAGACGGCCAGGCAGGGCCAACTCCGGACGCCCTGAGGCTAGCCCGCATCCTGCTCTGGGCGCTACCTGAAAGCCCCGGGCGGGGGCGGGGTGGAACAGTTCTGGAAAATTCTGGCCCCACTGGGGGTCTGTGATGGTCTGGAAGGGGGAAAACGGAGCAGGGCGCCCGGCGGCGGCGCTGGGTTCGGTGGGGTCTCGGGGAGACCGCAGCTCTTACTACTCTGCACCCAGCGCCTGTCTTTGAGGACATTTTAAAGGACGGGTTGGGAAACGGAGCCCTGGAAGGGAGCGAGTGCGAGAGCGCAAGGGCAGCTGCTGCTGCGCCTCGGGAGGGAGACTTCTGGGGAGAGAAGCGCCGCGGACGCCCGGGAAAGCGCCTCGGAGCCGCGGGAGCCGCCACACCCGGGAGGCGCGCGGATGCAGGCGAGACAAAAGTGCCCAAACCTTCTCCCCCCTCCCCACCCTCAGCGCCCAAACCCCGGGCGGGTGAACGCGACCCCTGCCCCGACCCCTCGCCTAGCCCAGCCCGCGCGATTACTAAGGAGACGCGGCCTCCAGCGCTGCCGTCCTCGCGCCATTTGAAAACGGATCCATCAGCGGGTACCGGGCGTTAAAAGGGGTTTTTCTGAAGGGACTTGTGGGAGAGGACAAAAGCGAGCGGCCCCATTCAGCTGACCAGTCAAAGGCGCAAAATGGGGACATCAAAAGGCGCCCCAACTAGGAATACGGATCCAATCGCAAGAGAAAAGAACCTGGTTTCTTTTCTTGGTCGCAACACGGCTGAAAAGCCCTAAAGCAAATAGGGAAAGAATGCGGAGGGAGCAGAAAAGGAAAATAAAGAAACAATCTCATGAATGCATTTTCTTGGGCTTTAAATGAGAAGAGTGACAACTTCCTAAGCGCGCCGTTGGGGGCCAGGCCGTGGGGTTCGCGGCCGCGCGGACCCCGCACCGCGCGCGCGTCTCTAACTCCCGCGCCCTTGCTGTTTCCGCGTGCTCCCAGGAGACGCTCCCTTTTGGTGTGTAATCCCTTCTTATATTTAAAATGGCAAAGAAGGGAAGGAAAGGGAAAGAAAGGCAAGTAGGGCGCGGCGCGAGGCCAACGTTCTCTATCAGGTTTTCTGCGGGCAGGTTGCATTTCGAACACCGGAACCCAAGCTGTCTGATCCGGCTACCCCGGTCCCATTCTTTCCGCAGGTTATCTTTTCTCCAACCAGGTCATTTGGGGGTTGTTTGTGTTGAATTTTCTACCCGCCAAGAACGAATAGGGTTGGCAAACCAAACCACTTTTGGGGAACCCGCTTGTTCACCCTTACCCAGCCTTTCTCCCGGTTCCTTGTGCAAGGGAATCTCCTCCTTACATGGCCAGGTTTGTTCCTTCGCTCAGAGCCTCGAGCGAAGCGCAGTCTGACGCTTCCCCGGCTGCCCTGCTTCGGAGTATAAGACCGACTGTCCTCTGAGCCATGGACTTAGGGGAGAGCGGTCCAGATTCAGACGGCTCCCGAGACAGGGACCCCTGCCCGCCCCTGCCCTGAGTTCGTGCCCTGAAGAAGGGTGAGGACCCCGGGGGGGAGTGGATGTCGGGGAGGCGGTGGCAGCCAGGGCTTTGGTCTGCCTGGCCCGGCCGGCTTTTGTCTCAGTATGTGTTCTGTAAAATTGTGACAGGTTATTAGTAAAGGAAGGGGCACGCAGGGTCATGAAGGTGCCGCACACTCCGCGGCTAAGCCCATCCCTCGGCCGGGCCCAGGGCACCAGCCTGAGCGCAACTCGCAGTCCTCCCGCATCTGCGCCGGAGTCCGGTCTGGCCTTGGCCTCCCCGCACGCTTTAGCCGCCGGAGAGGAGTTACAGGTCAGGGAGGCAACAGGAAGGGTTTCAGCACGCGGGCGCCGGGAGAGAGGGAATTTTCTCCGCGCTGGGAGCAGGGCCATCTCTCTACTCTCCCACCCCCGGCATCAGGCTTAGCCCCTAAACCGCCACCGGGGAGACAAACTAGGGAACGTGCATTTAGATAGCACAGTGAGAATGAGTTGATGGTGCTACATCCCCGAAAATATTTAGATGGGGGAATCTGTTCAGAGGCCGGGATCTTCAAAGGGATGCTCAATCGGACCTTCGATTCCAGAAAAGCTGCTGGAGACGGAGTTCATGGCCTCCAAATGGACAGGTTTCGCCAGGCATGGTGGTTCATGAAAACAGTCTGCACAAGAATAGCCTAGGTGCAAGAGGCCACCTCTCCTCTCGAGGCTTTGGGGAGCCCCTCCGCACCCCAGGTCGGTGGAGGGGGAGCAATCACTTGCCTTTTGTTCGTGGCTGAGGGATGCGCATTGTGGCAGCAGCCGAGCAAAGGGGGGAAATTAATTGCAGCCAATTAATAATTAATCCCCTTTAAACAGCTTTATTATCTCTCCCGAACGACAGGGATTTGTCTGATAACCCCCCGAAGACCAAATGTCAAGTTTAACCAAATAGTTATTGCTTTATCAACCCGAGTCTGCAAATAAATTAATCAAAAGCAAATCTGTCCTTTGTGCGGCTCATTTGCTGGTAATGGATGGATATGAAGATTTGCCGATATTATTGTCTGTCATTCAATCTAACAAAGTGAACATTTATTGCATATATATTAAAAATTATCCCGGAATCGAGTGGCGCCGGGTTGCATTTATTGGAGTCTTCCCAGGGGTGAGGTCCCCTCGGATGGGGGCGCATGGGGAAGAGAGAAAGTGCAAGAGCGCGCGTCCCAAATCTCTTTAAGCCTCTGCGCGCCTCTGCCCCCTCCCCGCGGCGTCCCGCCCCCCAGCCTTTGCCCTCAGCCGCCGGACGCGCAGGCCACCGCCTGTCGCACCGCCGGGCCCGCGGAGCGTGGGGAACCGAGCTGCTGTCAAAACAGGCCCGGAGCCCCGAGCACTCGCAAGGGGACCGACCCTAGGAAATTTGGGGTGTGATTGAAAAGAGAGAAACGGGAGGGTGACAGCTCCTCTTTGTCTTCTCTCGGGTTACATCATTTTCTAATTAGGCATAAAATTGTCTTCATACACTGGTATTGCGGCCTTCATAAACATCACCATTATGGTTCATAAGGACGCCATTGTGGGGAGGCCGTCCCAAAATAGAAAGAGCTGGGGAGGGAGAGGCCTGGAGTCCCGGAGGCCCGGCTTTGTCCTCCCCTGGGAGAAGATGGATGGCCAATGTCACGCAGATGATGACTTGGGACTATTAAATTGTGGGGGGGAGGAATCTCTACCAGCCCCCAGCGCGGATGGAAAATTCTAGAGGCAGGATCCCGAGGGTCTTGGGTGGGAAGCGAGGGCCGGCGGCTGAGTTAGGCAGGCAGGTTGGAGGAAGAGGCTGGTTAGTGGCCGGGGAGGCAGAGTGGAGCGTGGTGGGGGCCGAAGCTTCTGTCTCTTCCCCGGCACCCTGGCCTCGGCTGTGCTCTGCGCTTAGGGCACATCTGATCTCGAGCCGACCTCCCACCCCTACCCCATCGCCAAGGCTGGGGGACAAGTGGGCCCAGCAAAAGGAGAGAGGCAGCGAGCCCAGAGCAGTTAAGGGCAGTGCCAGGCAGGGAGACAATTGTTCCCATTATTCGGAGCTGAGGCCCAAACCGGCCTCCCGCCCCGGTCGGGGGGCGCGTCGCTAACTGGATAGAGATGGATGGAGGCGCCCCGAGCCCCCGGCGTCGTGTCAGACCGGGGGCAATTACTGTCCCGCCAGCACGGACACACTGCCCGACACGCTGACCCCGGCGCGAGGGCCCACTGCTGCCCGCGCCGCCTGGGCGATTCGCTCTCTCGCCTTTACAATAACCCGACTTGACATAAATAACTCCCGTGCGCTTGTCTACATCTGCTTGACCTCCTGAACCCAAGGAAAACCTTTCGTGCATTTAGCCAAATTACATTTTTCTTTAAGAAAAAAAAAGATTTAAAATCGCAAATTCTAGTCTTCTGTCCTGTCGACCGCTAGTTCTCTAGTTCGGGTTCTGGTGTATGTCGGAATTCACACTGCTGTGAGACAAACCGATTGGCTTCTGCGAAGACTGGTTTCTTTCTGCTTATGCCTCGGGCATTGGTCGCGCTGTTCCAGGTATCTCGAGCTTTCCAAGGTGATCTAAAGGCACCTTGAGTTCCAGGCAGTTATCCCGTCTTCGAAATCCCCTCCCCTGGCGGGTTCTTGGAGAGGGGAGAAGGAAGAGGGGCTTCTATTGGTGCCAACGACTTGCTTGGTCCTGGGCTGTCTGAGGGCACAGCTAGAGGGCCAGGCCAGCGGGCCAGAGCAGCCTGGCGCCGGGCGTGTGCTCCCATTGACCTGATCCAGCAAGGGGGGTGGGGGTGGGGCCGGAAGTGTCTGTGCTGGCGCCACGCGCGCTGAGGTCGCCAGGCGCCAAGACAGGAGGGAGCCGATGGTGGGGAGGGGAGAGGAATGATTCCGAAGATTCCAGGGAATCGCTTGATCAGACCTGTGTCTGTTGTGGATCCCCAGCAGGAGCTGGCCTGGAGATGCCGGAGCCAGCCTTGCTCTCCGAGGCTTCCTCTGCGTAAGGGGTAAGGGGTGGGGATGGGGGGGGGGAGGGCAGGTCCCACTGATTTCCTGTCAGTCATCTCAGGCTTAGTTAGGCCCAGCTGGCAGTGAGTCAGAGGATCAGGATAGCATCTCAGAACTTTAGAGATGGACCAGCTATTGGAGGTCAGGATCAGAGTGACTTTCAAGTGAGAAGGTGTGGTGGGTCTCATCCACCCCCATCCAGGTGGCCTCCTGACTCTGACTTCCCCATCTGCAGAGGAACATGTGAAGATCTGAAGGCTGGACCTTGCCAGAGTAAGCTCTGCTGAGCTTGGGTCCTGTGGCTTTGGCTCTTCTTGCTCAAAAGTGGTGGGAAGCGGCAGTTGTAGGAACAACTTGACTTAGCAGCTGTTATTAAAACAAAACAAACAAACAGAAAACTCTGGATTCCAGTAATCTCAGGGCACAGTTTTTCTTGTATTTTCTTTCCATTAAAAAAGAATCATTTAAATGTCCAAATATCTGGAGTATGGTTTTCACACAGTCACTGTCCATGTCATTGGAGGTAAGCCCAAACTGACTAGTGTTCTTAATCCCATCCATTCTCTGCTAGCCATTAGTTATTCTTTAATTAAGTCAACAAATGCTTTGTGAGGAGATAGTTCCATATAAGACACAAGAGAAACAGAGAACCCTGTGCTCAAGGAACTTTCCGTTTCCTTGGAAGACAACTCAGTGTGGTGGGTGCTAAAGGGTTTCCGATGTAACCTGGTTGTGGAACCACAGGACTCAGCTTGAGCCTAGATGTGCCATTTCCTGACTTTGGCACCTGGATCGGGGACTGAATGCCCCTGAACCTCAGTTTCTCATGTGTGAAATGAATGCATCTGGACACATGCTCCAGAAGTCCTGTAAATTCTCCAGGTGCTCTAAAACATGTCAGTAGTATTCTTTGATGCTTGTATATGCTTCAGGAAGACTTCGGTTTCTAAACGTGCCTCTGAACTTTGCATTCCAAACAGTGGAGGACGAAGTCCAGGGAAGGTGTGGAACACACACTGGATTAGGAATCTGGCAGTCATTGACTGTGTAAAATGAGTTGGTTTTTTAATCTTTCTAAACCTGTTTCTTCACCTATCCAGCAGGAATAATAACGTCTATCCTATTTGATCCACAAAGTAGTTGTCAGGATCAGCTCTGAGAATGTATGTAAATGTGTGAACACCATAGCAGTGAAAGATACAGACCAGGGAGCCATGGCTCCACTCTGTAGAAGGCAGTCCCAATGATGACTGCCTGGAAGGTGGGCTCTGTCTTCTGGCTCTGGCTCTGCAGGAATGGGAGGATGCTGGGTCTTACGCAGCAGCTGTCCACAACTGGAACGACTTACCACTTGCTGTGTTGCTGTCAGGATAGGACGGTCTCTGCTTGACTTTCAGGCATCTACCTGTGGATATTAAAGAGAAGGTCTTTTTCATATCTAGGCAAAGTCCCAGAGATCTAGCACAGACAGTAGAAATACCTGCTTCAGGAAGCTCCACTGAATTTTAAGGACTCTGCTGCTGGAAGTTTCCTTGAAAATAAGATTTATCATTGATTGGAAAAAAGTGAGGAAAGTGAGGAATTCTTATGAAGTTTTTTGACTGACCCTCGCTTCGGAAGAAATATATGTTTTTACTCTTAGCAGGAAAAATAAAACAAAACCCAAACCATTCTTTTCATAATGTGCTCCTTGCTAAGAACTTTGTTAGCTCACTCAGAGAGGTGAAGGGAGTTTTATAAGAACCTTCACTTCCTTGCTGAAATGGGAAGAAACCACAACGGGTTCTGAGAGAAAGGACTTCGACTCTTCAGAGAAAGTGTGCACCTCTGAGGGGAAACCTTGGAAAGCGGCAGAGGTGGGGTGGGGGTGAGACCCCAAGAAGGAGCAGGTCTACCTTTTTTCTGATGGTCAGAACATTGATAAAGCAGCTAGTTAGCAACGTGTTCATCCCCTGTGGCATGTGGAAATCTTCCAGCAGGTTCTCAATTAAGGGAACTGCCTTTCCTTTCATTCTCTTAACTTTTGTGTCTAATGTTAACAACCTGATGCTATCTATTATGGTGCCATTATCACAGAATGTTGACTAAACTGGTTCTTTTATCTCTATTATGGGGCTGCCTCACTCGCAGATTTATGCATTTTTGATATCAAATTTTTTCTCCCATTAAGCCTAAACTCTTGTTGACTTTCATTGACCCGCTGCCCTGGTCCCCTATACTTTTCCATATTTAATATTGAAACATTTTTCTCAATGCCCCTCTTGGCTTTGTTGCCATCCATTTGATGGCTGTCCCTAATGGCCTGTGCTGTTTGCTCTGTTCTTGAACTTGGTGGGGTCACACAGTCTTAAACAGTGATGTCCTCTGAATGTCCATCCTTGCTGCTCAGCTAAGTTGCCCTGTGTCACAAGCTCTGCCCTTTTCTCTGCCCCTAACTACCAACTGCTCCTTAATGGCTTAAACAAACACCTTCCCTCCTGGTGCCCCAGGCCCCCTGAGCCTTTGGGGTTTTGTTTAGCCAAGCTGCTAATGCTCTGCCTGGCCCACCGGTGGCTTGGCCTCCCTGACCCGATACATCGCAGCTCTTCTCCTTGGAGCGCCTGCCTTGTCCAGCGCCCCCTGGGCCAAAGGCCAGGGTCCGGGCAGAGTTGACCAGCTGCTTGAGGTGGCCACAAAAGACACCAAAAGACAACTTCAGCTTGGAGCTGGCAAATGAATGTATTCATTTATCTTTCTTTCCCCCCTCCCAAACCTATCCACAAACTCAATCTACTGCCTGGCTTGAAACAAGACAAAGGGAAAATATTGGGAAGGGGGGCCGGAGAGGCCCATCTCCCACCAGAAATCTTAGCTCCCTTCTTGGGGGCCGTCTGTTCAGTTTCACAACACTTACACGACCAATTTCCAGAATTGAAGTTGCCTGGTGTTTTGATTCTTCCTTTGCCTGTGCATTTGTGCCCTGAAGGTCCCTTCCAAATGGATACTAATTGTGGGGGTTGCACGCTGCTGGCTGCTCCAATGCCCCAGGGCCCCGAGGACCTGCTTCTCAAAGCCTTAATTGACAAGGACCTGTCTGTATTTAGGAGCAGCTGGTCCAGAGCGTTGGCACATCAGTGCAATCTTAACTCAGCATCCCTAGCCCCGAGGAGGATGAGGGTAAATGTGGTTAAAATGAAGGAAGATTTATAGCCGGCCCCCCTGGGTAATACGACAGAAGACAGCTCCCAAGATTTTCCCCTACGAGGGGGTTCATTCATCAGCTCCCGGGCCTGGTAACCGGGTAGGAGGCGCGCTCCAGCTTTTATTACTAATGGGGGAGGGCGGGAGGCCCGCTTAGAACAATTAGGCAGGTGACAATATTCCTCTATAATGCATCTCCCCCAAAACAGGACCGAGGTTTCCCAGACCGTCACGGCTGTCTCCTGCTTCCGCGGGCCTCGGCGCCGGTGCCTCTGCCTGGGTCTGGCTCTGGGTTAATAGTGGCGCCGCCGGCGGGCTGGGAAGGGAGAGCAGCGCGCTCTGGCTGCCTTGCCCGGGAGCACGAAGGCTTTCAGTGGTCGCTCGGACTCCTCCTTGGGGTGTTTTAAAGCCCCAAACGGTCCGTGGCAGGGGCAATTGCGTAAACCCGTTGCTCTTTCCTGCGCCCCGGCTTCCCAGCTCCCGGGTCCACGCTGCCTTTCTGAGCGCCTTTCTGAAACCTGCTCGCTCCGTAGATGCAGCCATTCAGCGGGTTACAAAGAAGGTTTATTGGTTCATGAGGAACTCGGTTTTGTTGCGATGTGTGGGAAATACTTTGATGTCCGCCCAGTTCGCACGTGTGAACAGGGATAATGGGTTTGGGGATCTTCATTGAAATTTGAAGTTTTAAAGCAGAAATTCCCTAACTTTTGCCTGTTTCTCTCAACTTTTTCTTTTTCTTTTTCTTTTTTTATTCCTTCAGGAACAATGCCAACATTGAAGGCCTCGGTTGGAGTCTGCACAGTTGGAGATCTTTGGTGCCACTTTAGACATCTTTGGATTTCATCAATCAAATTGACTGCAATTTTCCATAAAAACCCTGAATTTGGGTCAGAAAGTGGGCAAAGTAGATAAAGATCATTCGAGCTGTCTTATAAGATGATAAATAGATATCCTTTCAGGCCAACAATGCCAAAGTGCAGTTTTGTGATTCCCTTCCATGGGTTCTGAATGCAGTGAGTCGAAACGATTTATACATGTTTTCCCATGGTCCAGGACACGTCTTTACATACTCGTCAATAGTAGCCTGACCTTTTTTCCTACTGAGCTGCTAAGTGTGTTGCTTTGGGTTTTTTTTCTTGTGTGTGCGTGTGTGTCTCCCCCCAAACACACAAGAAAAGAATTTTTTTTTCTTTTATTGCTCAAATCAATAGAATATGGGTCTGAGCTAGATAATTCTCTGCATATCTAGATAATTCTCTGCAGAAGCCCATAAATTGGTGTGGAAATTCCATTTGCTCAGTGGTTGCTCCTGAGGCACTTTAGACCCCATTTTAGATACCAGGCTGGGATGTAAACTTATGTTCCTAACAACAACAACAACAACATCCACTGGCACTGGGTCCTTCCTATTCTTGAACTTGACGAATAGCCTTTTGTATAAGGTGAATAAAGGGAAACTCTAAAAGAAACAGCAGAAAGAAACCGTCAAAGAGCGTTTAACCCGCTACCTCCAGAGACCTTTCAAGATGTTCACTGAAATAATTTCTAAGTGAATAAGAACATTTTACATTTTTCCTCTTCATTCTGAAAAAATAATCCATTTATTCAGCATACATTATACGTCACTTCCTAACTACTGATCATCTCAGTTTAATTCCCCCTTCTTTTAAATCTTCTTGACCTTTCCCCTCAAAATGTTTTCATTTTGATAATCCTTTCACTCAGCATTTTTAGTTAACCAGCTGTTTAAAAAGGTTGTGGAAGAATAGTACTGGTTCTTCATGGAGAAAACATGTAGAAACCTTATACTTGCCATTTTTGGCTATTTATGAATTAATTCTCTGACATGCCCTTATGAGCTCATAGATCCTGTGGGGGCATACACAATTATGCAGCAAATACATTTATATTTCTTGATATAAGAATTTTTTCCTGTATCCATCACATGAGCATCATCTCCTTTTTTGCTTTGCTTTTCCATACTCGCTAACTAAATATCAAATGTATGTTACAGAGCATCTAGAGAAGAGAGTATGGTACAGTGGGAGTTAATTACTGTTATTAACTTACTGGCTTTATTAGTTTTGAATGAAGCACATAGCTGCGGCTACACTTATTTAAGCACTCTTAATTAGCTAAAATAATTTGCAATGTTTTGGACACACTCTCACTGTGTAAAAGTTAAAATGGCAATTGGAGATTCAGAAAAAATTCCCACCCCTCATTTGTCTTTAACGCATCTTGCTGTCAAGTAGTAAACATTTTAACCTAATGTACACCTATCTGAATGACCCTTATCTCACTCTTTCAATGCCATTACATTACCAATTTTATATTTTTTATGGTGAAAAACATATCTACTAAGTGACATTTTAATTTTAAAAGTATTTTCTAGAATTCAGAAAGACCATTGCAAATAGCGAATTTGTGAAGGGAAAGAAAATGTAATTATTTATCTTGTTTAATATATTTTCCTAATGCCCTGTCATTCTCTTTCACTCAATATTTGTTGTAGATATATCCATGATACCCATGAAATCCATGAAATATGTTTAGTGAGGAAGAAGGACAAGGGGAGAAGTACAGTAGGAAAACTAAAAGTTGAAATTTGTTGGCCACTTCCAATCAGGGTATCATAAAAGCATATCTGAAATTATTATATAAGTAAATAGAATGGTAGAATTTTGTTCACTATTGAAGTCTGTTTTACACAACTTCTTTCAGGAGTCCATCTACCACATCAAATAGTCACTTATAAAATTTTTATTTTGGATTTTTAACATGTTCTGTACATAGAGTGAAAGCTATTTGTTTATTGTCATTGTTAATGAGAGCAGAGGTCCTACTGATTAATAGAAAAATGTCAACCAGTTATATGTACTGCACTATGTTCTAGTGCAAAGGACAAGTGGTGAAGCATAAATCTAAAGCTTCAGATCTGAAGTTACACTCTGGAAACACGTATCTGAGCTTATGACCAGGCATGAAGTAATTTGGGCTTTGTTGGTACTGGTTTTCCTCAGCATCATAACTGTAGACCAGAGAGGGAATGTCTGGGTGAATTTGACTTCCCATTTTGTAGATGAGAAAACTGAGCCTGTGCAGATAAAATGCTGGTCACAATCTTCACTCATGGTAGGACGAACACTGCAACTGAGCTTTCTCCCCAACTCCTCTTCTGTCCCTTACTAAGTCAGGGACTCATTTCTCCAATTATCTTTCCCACATCCATAAAAAAGAAAGGAAGAAAAAAGAAACTCAAAAGGCATTTGCATCCAGTTATTGCAAGATCCTCCTCCTGATTGCAGCATACCTCTAATGAGCTAATGTCTGAACAGGCAAAAGGATGCACAAGGCCAGTTACATCAATGCCAACTGGCCACTTGGGGAGCTGGGCTGCAGGAGTTCTTCTTTCATGGAAGATTTTTGTTCTTGAGAATTATCTGGATAGTTCCCTCAGTATTCTCATTTTTGTTCCCCTACTCACAATAAAATGAAGGAAATAAAAATGCTTCAAATAGGAAAAAAAAAAGAGAAAAAAAGCAGCTGTGTGCATACAAAAAGGAAAAATACCCTCAGGTGAGTAGGAAAGAAAGTATTTGGAACCCCCATTGTCCAGTTTGCCTGTAGACAAATCCTGAATTCATTGTATAATTAACTCCACCCTTCAATTCTCTAGAGAGCTACCGCCACATCCTAAGCAATCCATACAGAATTCACTTCTTTTCCTAATACTGGAATATTTTAAATCCATCAGTTGACACAAATCCATAATTTGACAATTATCAACAATGCTTTCAAGAATCTTTTAAAGTTTACATTAACATGCACAATAAGCAGGGATAACATTCTTATTTTCAATAATGACATTCATTAACTTGCTATCATTATCTCCTCTGTGAGGGTGATATTTTGGCAGTTATTGTCAAATCTTACAATTTCCAAAAATGATGTGGTTTCCTGAGAATTTTTTTTTTTGGAGGTTTAAAAGGCCATACAAAGTAAGTAATTTAAATCAAATCCATCTCCTCTTTCATTTGGTTGAGTAATTTAAACAAAAGCTATCTAGGTGGGGGTCATGAATTTCCTGAGTGATGTGACTCTCTGAGCCCAGTCTGCCATGTACCTGATTTTGAAAATTGTTTGTCAGAAATAGCACTTTATCACTTCTTTGTAAGTATGCAATACAATTTTACTTTAGAACATTTTCAAGTTTTAATAAGGATTTAATAACCTCTGATTTGGAGGCAGCTAGAGTAAAGTTGTTGAATTTAATAGAGGCTAACATATGGGAAGGGTTTTAAAGAGCCGTTCACATTGAAACCCCAAACTGGTTTCAGTCAGCAGGTATCCCGATGTTTATTTAATGAAGAAATGTATGAGCAGCTGCTGTCTCCCCATTTCATATGTAGTTATCTTTCATTGTGCTGCAGCAAATCAGGAAGAAGGACAGATTGTAGCTGTAATTCAGGATCATTCCATTAGATATGCAGGGGTATACCAGTAGATTCACAAATACAAACAATGAGGTTAGTTTGAAGAAGAAAATCAAATATCATCGTAACAACTCTGGGGATAGAATCTGTGGGTTGTTTTCAGATCTATTGCTTAGTATGTAGGTCATAAAAATTTTTCAGGTTTACATTAAGCCCTAAAGGCCTTTGTGTAGATAAATAAAAATTCAGTCTGACACTGATTCTTGACTGACTTTGTGGTATTATTGCAGATGAACACATGGGGCTAATTTTTGTTGCCCGGTGCATGGGGGGCATTGCCAATACTGTAATATCTCTCTAACCATGCCAAGGAAAAGAAATGATGGACAGCTGGGGCTATGATATGGCCCGGTGGCTTTATGGGGCAATTGCTCCCAGGACAGACATTCTTACAGCAGGTATCTTTAGCGTGAATGCGTTGTTCATTTTGCTCCTATTTAAAGCAAGGTCTTCTAGGGATTTCGGGGTTGTAAATATGTTTGTTTCTTTAGTCATGTCTGCCTCTTGAACAAATATCAATTGCGGGGACACATACTGATTGCTTTCTCCCATCATCAATACATATGCTGAACTCCTTAAAAATGAATAAAGTTGATATTTGGCGACCTTAAGAGTAGACTCCTTACTTTAGAGAGCAATGATGAAGACATTTTTTTTTATAGTTTTGGCCTTGGGCATAGAGTTAACTACAGCCTTATATTTGTTGTGAATAGTTGGCAAGTTTGGCTGAGGGAATCATTTAAGAACGGCTGCCCTGAGTCTGCTATCATGGGGCCTACTGTAACATATATTGCCTTTAAGGTAGAGTTATATTTTTAAACTTTCCACCCAAGACCAATACAAATGATGAGTTTATTTGGGAAGTTCTTTTAGAATGCAGATTTTTTTCCTTCAAGTTTTCTCCCCCTCACCCCCTTTTTTATTTTTACAGTTTCACTATGATATGTATTTGTTAGTTTTCCATGTGTTTATTGGTGACTAAGGTAAAGTATTTGTCTGATTTAGGCTCTCAGAGGCCCTAAGTATTTCATGCAGATTCCTATTGGCAGTCTAAAACGAAGATGACGAAAGGGAGCTAACTTGAGCTATTATCCAACAGCAATGCGCTCTAATGACTGAGTATCGGTGAGAAAGTTTGATTAATTTGTATTTGATCTGTGTTGCCTGTTATGGATTTGGCAAATGGGTTGCCGGTGAACTGAGTGCTGTGGCGGAACAGCGAGCGAACAGCAGGAAAGTAGCCATTGGCTCAGTTAAAAGCAAGGACTCTGAGACCAGCTGGTTCGAAGCTGGGCCCTCCCACTTCCCAGCTGTGCGACCTCGGGCCAGCAACCTCTCTGCTGCTCAGTTTCCTCATCCGGTTGTTACGAGGATTAAATGATTAATACTTCCTAAATGCGTAGAACAAAATAGTACGCCTCACGCGTTAGAGTATGAGGCTTCCACTCAGGGCCTGCCTTCACCATGAACC